AAGGAAATGGAAAGTTGAAAAGAAGAAATCATACACCCCCTCCTTTTGCTTACCCACAGTAAAGGAATGCAAAACACCTCCAGCTCTCTTCCCCCCACAATTACCCCTCCCCCCGTTGCTAATGACAGCCGAAAAAATTAAGCGTAGCAGTAGAGAAGATATAGTAGATAGGATATGAGAGAGATAAATGAGATAGATAGCAGTTAGGGTAGCCGAAGAGATCTTGAGGCTGACAGTCAAGCTAACAGCAAACGATGGGCAGTATTCTTCACATGCCTCAGTATTCGAGTGATCCATATCGAAGTCATCAAATCTATGGACGCCTCTTGCTTCATCACCACTCTGAGAAGGTTTCAAGCCCACAGAGGCCCAGTCAAGGTATTTAGATCTGACTTTGGAATGAACTTTGTAGGCACTTGTAAAGAACTACAAATTGAAGATGGCATTCGCCCTGACTCGCCACTCAATGGCTACCTTAAAGCCAACAAATGCACATGGATATTTAATCCTTCCCATGCATCTCACATGGGAGGAGCATGGGAACGCATGATTGGAATAGCTTATCGGAACCTTGATTCGATGCTGGTGAAAGCACCTAAACTGACACATGAGACTCTATCTACCCTTATGGCAGAAGTTGCGGCCACCATAAATGGTCAACCTTTAGTTCCGGTTTCTTCAGATCCTAAGAATCCGACCAGTCTCACTCCAACTGCCTTGCTAACTCGAAAGACACCCGGGGTGATTGGCCCACACCGTTAGGGAACTTTTATTCTAAGGACTTGTACAAACAACAATGGAGACAAGTTCAACAGCTTGCCGACACCTTTTGGAACTGTTGGAAGCAAGAGTACCTGTCTACCCCACAAGACCACTGTAAATAACCAAACCTCGAGGAGGGAGACCTTGTCATGCTGAAAGACAAGGATGTGCATCGCAACACGTGGCCTATGGGACTTGTGTCTCAAACCATGCCCAGCTCTGATGGACTTATCCGCAAAGTCAAGGTCCTGATGGCAAGGTCACTAGATTCCTCCTGCGACCATCAGACCTTTACCAAGAAGCTCTACACCAGGCCGGTCACCGACCTTGTGCTACTGCGGAGAAGGGCCGAATTTGAAGATTGAACCTCAAGCTTTGCATGCTTTGCTTTGTTTGATGCTTTATTAATGGCTACTGTTTATCTTAGTTATATAGTTATCTGCTATTCAGTTAGTATTACTGTCTACTGATTATCTTAGTTTATAGGGAATTATTTTTTCTTTTAATAGTGGAATTTACAATTCCAGGCCAATTCCTTCCCAAGATCTTTGTCTTTCTTGAATAACAGAATTGGAAGGAACCTTGGAGCAGGACATCCTATATTGTTCTGGACAAATGGCTGTCCAGTCTCTTCTTAAAAACCTCCAGTGATGGGGCACTCATCATTTCTGAAACCACCCCTTGTTTAATTGTTCTCTAGGTTGCTTTCCTCCTTGATTAGTTTCTATCCATTGTCTTGCTTCTGGTGCTTTGGAAAATAGGTTGACCTCCTCTTTGTGGCAGCCCCTCAAATATTGGAACACTGCTATCATGTCACCCCAGTCCTTCTTTTCAGCACACATACCCAATTCTTGCAACTGTTCATGTTTTAGCCTTCAGCCCCCTAATCATTTTTGTTGCTCTTTTCTGCGCTCTTTCCAGCATCTCTACATAATAATATGGTGACCAAAACTGGATACAGTATTCTAAGTGTGCTCTTACTAAGGCTTTATAGAGTGGTACTAACACTTCACTCATCTTGATTTTATTCCTGCGTTAATGCAGCCTAGGGTTGCAATGGCATTTTGGCTGTTGCCACACACTTCTGGTTCATATTTAACTGGTTGTCCATTAGGAGATTCCAAGATTCCTCTCACGATTACTACTATTGAGCCAGGTTTCACCTAATCTGTATCTGTACATCTGTTTTTTCTTGCCTAAGTGTAAAACCTTACTTTTGTCTACACTGAATTTCATTTTGTTAAATAGATCCCACATTTGCTCTGGCTTTTCTTCTTTTTTTGGCAATCCCATTTGTATATTGAACAGTCCCATTCAAGTCAAAAATGGATTTCCCCCACAACTGAAAAACCAGTAGTCCAGGGATGGGGAACCTTTTATGGCTCACTCAGGAATTCTTGGAGCTGAAGTCCATAAGTGATAGAAGAGCAAAGTTTCCCTACCCCTGTCTTAGGTCATAAGGTCCAAATATTTTTTCCTCCTTAATATTTCCAAATTTGTCATTGCAGTCTCCAACCACAAGCAACACATTTTGCCTACATGTTCTGTCAATTTCAATTGAATTTAATCACAAAACTCATTTTCCTTGTCTTCTGTATTAGTACTAGGTGGGAGAACAAAGTTGTGTTAGACATCCTGACTATGAAAACAATGTCATTTCTTATTTTCCATTCTTAAATAGTACACAGCGTGACGTTTTGACTGAAAGAGTCCAATTCAATCCATCTCAGTACAAATTTCAATACAAATCCATCAATCAATACAATGATGCCTAAGATGTCAATGTACAGTTGATGTCAGGCACAAAAAACCAGGTCCACATGTGTTTTGTTGCTAAAAGTCTATGCACAGGTATCTTCTCAACTAATGATCAGCACCTGGTTAGTGTCAGATAAGGGTCAACAGCAATCAAAGAGGGTTGGACTTAGTTAATTTGTAGCTACTAAGGATTCTAAACTAATCCCTCTTTTTCTTTTTTTAGTGCTTCCCTGGCTCTGACAATTTATTTATTTAGCACATGCCAATGTTACATTAACCAGGAGACTACAATGCTAACACAGAGTAGTGCTTTGGCTGCCTAACATGCTAGTCCAATTGGTTCATGCTTGTGCACTTTCCAAGATGCACCACAGGGACAAGCTAGCTCCACCAGAAAGCAGGACAAACAGCATCTGGCAGTGTCATCCAGGGCCTCCTCTCACCTTCGAAGTCACCTCCCAAATGGGCATCACATCTGGGAAGATCCAGCATTGGCAGGATTCTGATTATAGGTAAGAAGCACTGGCTTGTCTTCCCACTGAAGTGGTATGTATTTATCTATTTGCATATAATGTGCTTTCAAAGTGCTGGGTGGACAAAATGCCCACCAGTCTCTTTGTCAAACAGTGCATTCATTTCATGTTTCACTGTGTAATTTTACTATGTTCATATTTCTTACATATCATGTTCCAATTGTAATTCCATCTTCGCAGTTTCAGATTTTCTTTTCCTGCATGGCAACATCAGCAACTAGATGTCTCCACATCTAACCACAACAAAAACATTATTAATACTCCAAATGGTGTTTAGGTCTTTCTCAGTAGTATATTGAATACCATTCAAATTTGGGGGCCATCATCTGGTACCATATTGTCAATTGTTTTATACTTTCTATCCACATGGTTTTGTTGAAGTACAAAAGTGGTTTACCCTTGCCTCCTCCTGTGCAATATGAAATTATATCTTTACTATCATCACAAAATTGATCATCTGCCTCTGGCAACTCCTATGCCACTGCCGCCTAATAATAAATGTTGGGTGACCCTATATTCCCAACTTATACCTTCCAAACCCCACCACCATCACCACAATAGCATGTGGAAGTTTTATAGTACATTTCTGATGATACCATTGGTAAGTCTGGAATTAAGTTGCCCAGAAGTCCTTTTCAGTTGTGGAAAGGGAACTTCACGAAGACAGTAGTGTCACAAAAACAGGAAAAGCCCAAGGGGAGCATCAGGTCAGTCATAAAACAAACTTACATAGGAAAAGGAATCAAATAAAAAAGGTATTAAAGAATTCCTATAGACAAAAGCCTAAGTAATTAAGAAAACTAGACAAATAAGAAAAGGAAACAAAAAGATAATTTAGAAAACCCTTACAAACACAGGACATACCAAATAAGCAAAACAAACAGACAAAAGACACAAAATATAAATTACAAAAGGGACAGATAGGAGATTGCCACAGAACAAATATGAAAAACTATCTTAAAGCTAAAAGAGATTAGAGAAAACCAATAATACAATCTGGCCACCCCGCAGAGTTTGCCTTTCGCACCCCGCAGAGTTTGCCCTCTGGCGGGAATAAAGACAAACTCAAACAGGATTTGAAACATTAAGCAAATATTAAACAAATACAAACATTCACACAAAATCAACTTACAAAGGGAGAAAAGGGTATAAAAACCAGGGACTTACCATAATAAGCTAGCTAGCCCAGGAACGCAGGCTTCTTGCTGTTCCCTGCCTTCCTGAAAAATAAAAAGATCCAGCTTTCAAGCAGTTGTCCATATCCTTGCGGCGGAGCTCTCCAAGCAGGAAAATTGAATCCTCAAAAGAAAGGCATTTTGACACCTTTCAACACAGTTATAAAATAATGCATTTCGATAATAAATTCAATGAACTTTTCCTTTGGTGAATAATTGAACTACAGATTGGGAACCTTATTGAAATTAACCCATTCTTAGGGGTCAAAATTTCCCTCATGTTTTGTTTTATCCCACTTCAGCCCTGAACTGCTTAACTGCAATAAAGGCTCTTTCCTCCCATTTGCTGAAATGAACCTCACTCATCTCTGCATACTATGGCCATTCTCAGCCCCATCTGTTTCAAATCACTGTAGTCATCTAACAACTAAGAGGTAATGAGGCAACAATGTCTAACAAATTTTAAATACCTTGAGGTTGTCAAAATTGAGAAAAATACTGTTTAAACCATAAAGACGTGTTAAGTCACCTCACTCATGGGCTGGAAGCAAACTAAAACGATCATCAGACGGGGGTGGGGGGGTGGGGGTGTTGCCAGATCAGGACTGTGCTTTGATTAGATACAAGTGAGGAAGACCCATGAGTTTTTCCTCCGTGGTGCCCTTTATGGGTTAAACTACAATTCCTTTACTCCTCAGATAATTTGATTGGATTAGCCTGATCTTTGCTCAGGTGGAGCAAAGTTGCTCGGATAGCAGAACGCAAACTTGGCTCCCACGCAGGCCAAGTGGTGAAGCAAGAATATGAGGTTTTGAGAAGGGGAGGGGGAAGAAAGAGTTGAGTAACGTCGGTGAAGATTGGGACTATTCTGCGATTTTAATGTCCCAGAACTGCCACCTGACTGTGCCTCATGACAGGGACCGCCCTCGGATCTGGGCGTGAGGAGCGCGTCTGCTGCCAAAGGCTGGCCGGTGCGGTTTCTCCCATCCCGGGAACTCTCGGCGGCTCTGGGCACGGGTCGCTTCCGACGATGGCCCATAGCGACGAGGGGCAGAGGGTTGGCTCGGGGACCCACCGCGCGCCACCCTGATCTCTCGTCCTTCGCCCCTCCCTGTTGATTTCTGCTGCTTCCCAAGAGTTCAGCGGCAGCTCGGCTCGGAAGTAAGCCGAGGGGCTTACGCGCAAGTGCACGTGCGATCCAATTCGATGGTTCTATGACGTGAATTGGATCGCAGCCGCTTCGCGACTTCCTTTCCCGCTCGGACGCTCCGGCAACTCAGCCGAGGAGAAGGGAGGGTAGAGCGGACGCGTCAGGAAGGGAAAGGAAAGAAACCGAGGAAAGACCAGCGGAGACGGAGTTGAGCTGAGCTGAGCCGGGATTCAGCCCCGCCGGGAAAGAATCGCCCTCCTCCTTCCCGTCCTAGCTCTGCAGTCGCCAACCCGGAGGCGCGTGGTTTGAAGGAGAAAGCGAAGGCGCCAGGTGGGTCTCTGTCCCGAAGCAGCTGCTTCCTCAGAAGTTGTCCCATTCCCCCACAAAGTTTGGGTAGCTCCATTACTCCGGATCTGCCACCTCGTGGCTCCTTCGCGACGGGGCGCGCTGGGCTAATAACTTGCAGAGAAAAGTTACTGGTTGTAGTTTAACCTCGCCCTAGCCCGGCCCACCCCGCCGCAGGCCCCTTTTGGAAGGTGGGACAGAATCGCCCGAAGACTCTCAGAAGCCAGGTTTGCTTTCTTTGCCGAGCCCGACATCGTTTTCCTTCTTTTGCTGCCAAGGGCTACTGACTTGGATCCTAGTTAATCATCTCTCCACCTGAAATCAAAGCTCTGGATTTTTGTTGTCCTTGCAGGGGCTAAGGAATTGGATCCAACTTGATCCTGCAGAAGGCAAGCTGACCTGAACAGATCATGCAAAACAATCGCGCTGAACTCCTTCATAATCAGGCCCTGCAGCCCTTACAGTGGCAGAGAGATCATCATCGAGAGGTCCGAGTGACTGTGCGGAGCTCAGCAATTCAACCCACTACCTATGCTCCTCGACGACCATTGCTGAGGAAGACCTTGGTGGCCGTGGATATTGTGTGTTTACTTGTGGGTGAGTGAAGGATGGGGGCTCTGCAATTTCTACCTACTAGTACATGACAATTGTTTTATCAAGAGACGTTTGCCACAGAGGAATGAGAAATGAGAAGGGATTAAATAGTCAATTTCTCTCTGCAATAGAGATGATGGACCAGCTTATTTTGCGCTCCTTATGCATATAACTGGGCATTGTTGCATCTATCGTGTTTCTTATCTGGACCAAGGGGAACTGGGAATCTCCAGCTTCCCACACTCCGGTATCATTCCCTGAGTAAAACCATATCATCTAGAGTCCCCACCATCCTGTGCTTGGCTAGAAATAACTAGAAATAGCTAGACGGTTGCAGCCCAACATATCTGGTGCCTAATGGAGTATGGAAGGATTCTTGCAGTTGAATTGGTCTTTATCTGAAAATCTAGAAAACAAAGTTGAATCATTTCTGTTTTCACCTCTGGTAATTGTACATGCTTAATTTATGTGGCAGTCCATTTTATATTGGGTTTGGATAACTGAAGATCTGGTAATGCAGGACCAAACTTCTTATCATATGGAAGAATCAGAGTAATCAGTATTGGGTGCTCCAACTGGGCATATCCAGCTGTCTACATCAGTCCAAGGCTGTTCTGAGTTGGATCATGCAGCTGAAACCACTGCTCAGATATTCATTTAATCCTCCACAGAGGACTTTAGCATCTGCTGTGGAAATTACGTCACCATGAATCATAGTGGTCCACGGCTGGGATGGAGCAGACAGCTCTTGAGCAAAATCAAGTCTTCAGAAATAGCTTTCTGATAGGGTGTTAAGTTTATGACACTCGGTTATCAGGTTTACTTCCACTTTCTTGCTCTGCAAGTGCTCTGCTCTAGAGGTTGCTGTTGGGAAAGCAGCAACAGTGAGCCAGTGCCACTTCTTACAAGATATGTGGAGACCACATGGCAGTATCAGGAGAGATTGCAGTGGATGCCACTTTGCCCACTCTCCCCTCCAATGAGATAAACATCCAATAAACAGCTGCTTTCTCACTACACAGAAAGTGCCTACAGAATGGCTCCCTGAAGGTTGAGAAGGTCTGTCAAAGAGGCCAGCTGGGTAGCCATAGGTAAGTGTCCCACTTTGAGGAGTACTAAGAACCCTCAGGCGCTTTTGCCTTCAAGGGGAGGTGGCCATTTGGAAGTCAGAACCACACATATTTCTGCACATTTGTGCTTCCTGGTTAATGATCTTCTGCTCGTTGGTTAATAATTGTATAGAGATGAGAACAAATTCTTCAGAACAATGGGCAATCACAGCAACCAGGACTTTTTAATTCTTCACTATACCCACTGATTTGCTTCTCTCCTGGGCATTTCCCCCACCTCCTGCTGGACTCTTATAGTTAATCCTAGCTGTCAGGCAGGAAAAATACCTAGGGAAGAAGTTTGAAACCCTTTTCCACAGGTCACTCTCTGCAACTATCCTCAAACCAACATGGATATTAATAACAAGAGGGCCAGGCCCCTTTTGGTAATGCCTGATTCTGCCCTGTGGAAGTAAATCTTGGTTATATAACTGGAATACCTGGAGAAGTTTTGGGTCAAAATAAAGGGCTATTTGCACCAAGTCTTTGCCTTCTCTGAATCCCTTCAGAATTAAGCCTAGGATCTGGGTTGGATGAGATGTTTTGGGGCCACTGTTGCAGGAGACAGGGTCCTTTTAAAAAAAGGAACTGGACTTCTTCTTCTCCTTGAAGATATTTCGCTTCTCATCCCAAGAAGCTTCTGAAGAAAGCTTCCAAATGACCACCACCTCTTGAAGTCCAGTTTTTGAAAAAGCACCTTTGGGGCAACCATGGCCTGGATGAGTAAGAGTCTCCATAGACTAAAAAGGGGGAGTTGCTGGAGCCCAAGTGATAGTTTAAGATAACCCACTTTTGCGGATCGTGGCAGCAAAGATCAGGTTTCTACTTCTGCTAACCATATGGTACCACTCCAGTCCAGACTCCAGTGAGCTCAGTTTGGTCATATTTCTGCCTTCTGACATCTCCTAAGGCTCTACCCATGCAAATGCAAACTTTATTATTGCCTCCAACCCTAGAGGCCGCTTTTTAAAATGAATGTGGCGTTTTCCAAGAAGCTAAATTCTATACCCTTGTACCAGGTTTTGTGCTTACAAACAGCTTCCATTTTATGCTAGATGGTTCAGAATAATAAGGAAACTTTCAGGCAGAACTGATGAGGGAAAGCTCAGTTTAAATCCAGCCTATCAGGAAATTTTGGCTTCTTCCTCTTTCAGTCACCTTCTGGCAGGATTTCAGCAGTGAGAAGTACAAGAGTATGCTTGCTCGGTACAAAGACAAGTGTTTGGTGTTTGGAGACAGATGTATGGCCATCAGAAAGGGCATTCATCAGAATGGCACAAGGGGATTATAGAAATAGAAATAGACAGAATCCTGGGGCTGGGAGGGATCTTGGAGGCCTTGGTCAGCCCCCTGCCTAAGGCAGGAGACCTTATTTAAATCATTATGTCCTCATTCCAGGGAGATATTCCATTTTTACATTTCAATAAGCCACTTTTTTCTTTCCGAACTGTGTTGTACATTTTTGAAGGCTAAAGAGTTGTGTTTCAAAACACAAAAGCTGAGGCAGACCACAGTCGAGAAGAGGATGAGGTGTGTGTGTGTGTGTGCTCTGATGTTACTGAAGTCCTTGACAAAATTCCTAAGGGGCTTAGAAAGTCACCTGGTTGGTGTCCAAAGAAGCCGTATCTTATTTTATTTTTTAAGTAAAAAGTTTTGATATGAAAACATAGCCCAAACTAGATGGTCTGTTGTGTTCCAAGTTGACATGGAGCCTGAGAATGCAAAGGGGAAAGACAAGACAGACAGGCTGGAGCAAAGGGAAAGAATTATTTTCACTGTTTGCTGCCACTGTACTGATATCAGTTTTCACTGACTTGAAGGAAGCCTGTCTTGGGGGACTTTAACCCCTTCAAGGCAGTCTGTATTTAATAATAATCAGAAGCAAGTATAGAATGTTGTCCAGATAAGGCAACTCTCGTGTTCCCCAAACAGCATGTCCACCCATGCTAAACCACACTTTAAGTAAGGGGATGATGTTCCAAGCCATCATGGAGGCAGCAGGTTGGCAGGCTGCTTTGAAGTATTCAAAGACCTTCAGATCTTTTATCTTGTAGTTCTTAGAACAATCTTGTTATTCCCATCATGCGGATAAGGCTAAGAGAAGACATTGCCTGAGGTCACCTAATGAGTTCCTGGCAGATATGAATTTTTAGTGGCTGGCTGTAGATCTGGGAGATCAAAGGTATCACTTCAGTTCACAACTGCAGCAGAACAAGCTATAAAATATGTGACCGCATTTGAAATGTGATTCTTTCTTTATAAGTGAAGCAGAAAACATTGAACGCTAGGAAAGTACCCATTTTGTTCTCCCACAGAATTAGCTGTGAACAGGATCAGGTCTTTGAATGAGAGAACTGCATACTCTATAGCCTTGTTTTTCAATATAGTTTAATAGGAATTCTATGTGGGAATTCTGGAAGTATTGTAACAATATTGGATTGCAGTCTAATGAGATTCATTAGGAAAAATACCTTTTTAATAGGTGCACGACAAATCTCAAGCAGCCTAGAAGAGAATGCAGAAATGAAATAAAGTAACATTAACTGATTCTAGGCATATTTAATCACAGCTTGAGGAGTAGGGAAATCTGATTCCCTAGGCAGAGTGGCTATTGTCTTTGTAACAACTTTGAATTAGGTGCTTGCAGATGAATTTCCCAGAAGACTATACTTGTTCATAAATTGTAGGAGATGGGATCTAGACTTTCTATCTCAGACACCAAAATATGTTTAATCTCTGTAGAAATTAGTCTTAAGTGTCAATGCTTCCTTAATGCTTCCTTCCCTGTCCCCAATATATAGCCCAGTTTTTTTGTACTAAAGGTGTTCACCATGCTGGTTCTCTTTGTTGTAGGAGTTAGGAATAGAACCTTCATAAACATCACAGAGATAGAAAATGATACACTGTCTACCATATGCCAGGTGGAAATAGGCACACCGGTTTTAGATTTCATTCAGAAATAGTTCTCCTGCGTGGTACGTATAATAAACTATTAGCATGTGCAAACATTTATTTTAAAAAATTGGAAATTGTTCAGGAATGGTTGCTTTAGAAAAACCACAAGACAACTGCAGCCCTCGCGTTTCTGAAATGTCAAGGAACACTTTGAATGAGGAGGATTCATTTTTAGCTATTGCTACTAACCTCTGTGATGGATAGTTGTTCTGTCTCGGGTGGCCATTATCAAATAATAAAGCAGGAGTTCTACATAATAATAACGTGCACCATCTGATATAGTATTTGTAGAAGCTACTCCTGAATCTTTTTGATACATTTCATTGGTTCTAGAATTTTGATGTTTGAAAAGAATATTATAAAATTTTCATCCAATTTCTTCATAGTTCATAATTTTATAAATGTCTTATCATTCCCAGGCAAGTGTGTATCTGTAGTCAGAGGCAGGTAAGACAACGCCTTTGGGACAGACAGAATTAAACTGTCTATAAAGCAGGTCAGTTTGAAAGTTTGGGTGATCTTTCCTATAATGCTGGAATACTGGGAAATTGGGGGTCTTTTCATCCATCATGTTGTATCAATAATCCTCTTTTGACACTACTATTTTAGCCCAACATTAGGCATATGCTAGAGCCAGGTTGTTGGGAAATTTGGCCAGACCCCAAGAAGGAAATTTGTACCAAGGTTGCCTAGGTGGACTGACATGGATGGCTAGTAAGGAGCTGGCTTGTTCAGGCCACTGCTACTTCTACAGAAATTGACAGAGATCTGGAAGGAGCAAGAGTTTGGGTTGCAGGCAATTTGGCAGACTGGCACTGGTAACAGTGGTGGTGGGTTGGCTGCTAGGAAGGAAGAGGCATTCAGAAAGTATCTCGGATAAGAATTGGATTGTCCTTCAGATGCTGACCCAGAAGTACTTGTAGCTAGCAAACTCAGGTT